TCAGGACTGTCCCTTGTTGTGGCGGTTCTTTTTATCCAGTTTTAAGTTTTCTATCCAGGGTAATTTTTCCAAAAATAGTTACAACCTGGTTGTGTTTGTGAGATGAGACGAGTTCAGAGTCTGCTTACTCTGCCATCTTGATGAGATCTCCTTCACTCCCCTTTTGAATAATTTAGATAGTATAGTATGCATGTTTTTACATCATCTGTTATTTTTCTCTCAGTATTTTGATATTATTGGTCCATTATATTTTATTTCCCCTAAATTTCTTAATGGTAATCCCTTTGTAAAAGTCTGCTTTTCTGTCTAAATATGGATATGTCTGTATGTAGATTTATATTAATTTTCCTGATCATGACTCATTGAAATTCTTATATCTCAAGATTTTTGTACTTTATCAATTCTAAAAATGTTCAGCCTTCTTTTGCATCTTTCCCATTATCTCCCCATCTGGAAATTGAATTATTTATCTATTGTGCTTTTCCATTCCTTCCTCCATGTCTCTTAACCTCTCTTTTATTTTTCCATGTGTTTATCTCTCCATTTTACATTTTAAGTAAATTCCTCAGATTTACCTGCATCTAATTTATTGCTCAATTCATATACTGAATTTTTAATTTAATCAACTATTTCTAGAAGTTTTGACTTTTTTTCAATTCTGCCTGCTCATTTTTTCACATTATTCTTTTCGTTCATTTTCACTTCTTAATCATATTTTTTGTGACTTTTTCATAATTTTAAGTGTATCAATTTCATAGTCTTTTTCAGATTGTTCTAATACCCAACACTGTGTTCTAATACCCAGTATCTGGTGTCATACTAACCCTCTTGTGTGATTTGTCTGCTGACTCTAACTTTTCAGGATAATTTCTTCATTTCATTTCCAACTTTTTACCGTGGGCTTATTGTCAATTTTAAATAGTCTTGAATTCACTTTTTCTTCCCCTGCGTGGAGTCCTCTTTGCCCTGAGTTGTAGAATTCTTTCTTGTAAAAGATTATTCATTTCTTTCTAGCAGTAACCCCAAAGGTGTCACTGGTCTGGAACCAAATTTTTTTTGCATTGCTTTCTCAGTTTTAAATTCCTACCACACAAGGTCCGAATTTGGATGCTACATCTGCACATGATGTGAACTTGAGTCTTCAGTTTCTCATGATAGGTGCTTTTTTACAACCTGATCCATAAACGATGATAAATTTTCCTGTCTATTTGGAGTCCTGTTTAAGAAGAGTCTTTTTATCACCTCTTACACTGATGGGCTGGTCCTTCCAAGGTGATGGTTAAATTGAGTCTCTGTTCTCATCTACATCTCCAGTCTCCATATGACACTATGTGGTCTCTGACCAAACAGTCCCATTTATGACTCCTATATCTCTCACAGACACCATCTCTGGCTATAACCTCCCTCTTGCTTCTGGTTGGAAGTTTCCATTTCTTTTAAGAGCTTCTGTACATTTAAAAATTCTTTTGTTATAATTTACCTAGCATTTCTGAGTGTTTGTAAGAGGAAGAGAATTCACTTGAATTTGATTATTCATACTACTGAAACCTAAGTGCCAGAGTCTTCTCTGAAAATATAAATGACAACATCTTATTCCACTGTTTAAAACTGTTAAAGAGCTTCTCATTGCACTTAAAATAAAATGTAATCTGTTTCTCATGGTTTACAGAGTCTCTCTTAATCAGGTCCTGCCTATTTTCCCAATCTCATCTCATGTGACTCTTCCTCTGGGTTATTCATTATGCTCTAACCACACCAGCTTGTGTTTTTTTCTTGAACATATCAAGTTCCTCTTCCTAAACAGTTTTCCCACAAGATCCTTTCTACCCTTCCGTGGTCCCTGACCACCACATCAACATGTTTATTTCCTTCACAGTATTGGACACAATCTGTAATTATCTTGTTCATTTATTTATTCTTTTATTTTCTGCCTCCTCCAAATAGAGTTCATGCTCCATGGGGAAAGCAACTTTGTCTTGGCAATTGCTGTATCCTCAGTATCTAGACAGTGTCTGACACACAGTAGATAGTGAATAAATATGTGTTCAATGAATGAAGATGGAAGTAATGTTCAAAACCTTCTAGTTCAACTTTCTGTTTTTACACAAAGTAAAAAACCTGGGAACATAACTGAGAAAGCTTTGAGAACTTGCTCGAGACCACAAATGTTTTATGAGATATCCCTGCTCTTCTGCCCTATGTTCTTTCTGGGGACCATGCCACTGGTTACAGAAGGTCTATATCAGGGATTTGGGAAGATGATAGATAGACTAGACAAAAAGTGATCCATGAGCTTCCTCCCACATTGATGAATTATGTGGAATACACGCATATATTAATTTTTCTGGAGAGGAAGCCTGCAGCTTTCATCCAAATTTCAAAAGGGTCAAAGGCTCAAAAAATCTTAAAAGCTCCTGGTCCACATATTGTTTGTGAACTATTAAGTTTCCTTTTTGTTTTCTCGTCTTCATATCAGTTCTTCTATGAATAAGAATTAAAATCTTAATTAATTAAAAATTTAATCTTCTATTAATAACAATCATTATGAATTAAGTATCCATTATACTGCCAAAGGACATGTATTAAAATGTTGCCATGTGAGGCTGGTCCCGTGGTGCAGTGGTTAAGTTCGCATGCTCCACTTCAGCGGCCTGGGGTTTGCCAGTTCAGATCCCAAGTACAGACCTATCCACCACTTATCAAGCCATGCTGTGGCAGACATCCCACATATAAAGTAGAGGAAGATGGGCACAGATGTTAGTTCAGGGCTAATCTTCCTCAGCAAAAAAAGGAGGATCGGTGGTGGATGTTAGCTCAGGGCTAATCTTCCTCAGGAAAAAAAAGATGTTGCCATCTATAGGTAAAGGGTTTGGTTCTGGAGTTATGGCATCACTTGGAACATGAGTCTAGGGTACTCTGCCAATTTTGTTTATCAAGACTGGCAGTATGAATACTCACACATTGACTATAGTTGCATATACCTCAATCTTTCTTTAGCCATATTTCTGGTACCCATTATCCTAAAATACTGAAGAATTTTTCGTTCACATTCCTCTGTTGTGGTAGAAATGGGATAATTTGTGGAAAAAGCTTTTACTCCAGAGAACTGAGGTTCAGATGCTAAACAGATTGATCAATAAGTGTACAGCATTAGATTTATGGATGTTGAATACACATATGATCAGTCCATATTTCTTTTCTCAGGAATATTTTGTTTCTACTAAACCTGCTATGTGCATAAAATGGCCTGGGGAATGGAGAGAAGAAATGACACTGTCTTTGCAGTAGATGTTTGGTGGAATGTCTTCCCAGACCCTGAACATCTTCCCTTCCTTTCCTGAGGACAAATCCTCTGTTCAGAGGCGCCTACTTCTCAGCCACTGTTGGCTGATGAGCATACGACATACTTTCCTTTAGAAATTAGGATTTGCGATTCAGAAACAGGCCAGTTAAATCTTCGATGTGCCTATAACTCTACCTATAAATTTGGAATTGCACAAAAATGTATTTTGCCATGTATATGGAAAAACAAAGAAAGTCACTCTGTAAAAAGAGAAAGATGAAGAAGACTTAGGAAGCTTACAAAAGAGAAAAATATTTCCTTGGTTTCTGACAACTTTCTTACAATTGCTCTTTTTTCCGCATAGATTGAGTTGATTTCATTACAACCAAAGCTTAACTTATACAAAATTTTATTTCCTGTAGATGAATATTTTTGTTTTTCTTTTAGTTTTGTTTCATTTCTTTTATTTTTGAGCTTGGAGGCATAATATCTATACATGCTGGAGTGAAATAAAAGAGGTTTAAAAGTTGATTTGATCAATTCCTAGCTAAGTGCAATAATTTGGACACACTTGTCCTAAAAACTTATTTGTTATTTATCTGAAATTGAAATTTAACTGGATATTTTTTATTTGTTAGTTATTTTAATTATTTTATTTTTTTAAGATTTTATTTTTTCCTTTTTCTCCCAAAGCCCTCTGGTACAAAGTTGTGTATTTATAGCTGTGGGTCCTTCTGGTTGTGGCATGTGGGATGCCGCCTCAGCATGGCCTGATGAACATTGCCATGTTTGCACCCAGGATCTGAACTGGCGAAACCCTGGGCCACCGAAGCAGAGCACGTGAACTTAACCACTCAGCCACGGGGCCAGCCCCTGGATATTTTTTATTTTATCTGGCAACTTTATTTGTCACATAGATCTTACTTTGTAAAATGGAGGTAATAATAACAAATCAGCAAAGATGTTGTTAAAATGTCAAGGATATCATAAATGTTATGTAAAACAATTTCTGAGAACTACAGTTTATTATTTTCTTTGCTCTTCCCTTCTACCTATTTGTATCTACAACACAAAAAGGCATTGCTTACAAAGTTCACCATTATAAGGCCACCAAATGGGAAATACTTCCTGGATGTGCTGAACTTTACCAAGTTAACAGAGAAAGGCCCAGATGAAATGACTTAATTAAATATAAAGTTCTTTTTGGAAAATGGGGAAATGTATTATACCTTTTATGAAATGATGTCTTTATTCTTGAATTAGAGAATTTGGAAAGTTATATATTTTGATCCCCCTGACTTCACCCAGGCACCCCATCCCAGGAGACTCGCACATTCTTTCCTGTGCCAGGCATACTCCTAGGTCTTAGTTATACATAAATTTGTTTTCAATTCAAACCAGCATCTCCCTATCTAGTATTTCTCACCTCCTATAGAAAGAGATGAAGAAAGAAAAAGTATGAGAAAAAAGAGAAGGAGATAATATACTAGTTTACTATTTGCCTGTTTGAGGATAAAGAGTATAAGATTCTTGATTTTGGCGCTTTTCATGTCTTATCTCCTGTGTCTAAGTCCTTCTCACTTTTTATCTTGATTACTTATATTCCCTGACTGGAGAAACCCAATCAGTACTGAAGAGCATCTTTAACACAGCTCAAGCTAACATGCTTTCTGCTTCAGAGACACAGAGTGATGAACTTTCCTGACAGAGGTGTTTATCAGATATTTCTTTATTTATCACACAAGATCCAGTGAGATTAGATCAGACTTTTGTCTCTTCCAAAACAGTGTGGGCTTGCTGGCCAACCACTAAGTAATGGGCACAAAAATGGCATGAGTCCATTTTTATTTTCCCTGTTCAAATTCATTATCTCTGCAGATACTTTGTAAGTAGTGAGCTAGGAGATTGTAGAGAATATCAACAATTCTAGCGTGACTTTGAATTTGCAAAGGCATTCTTTGAGATTTCCTTCATGTTTTCCTCTCCATTTTCTTCCACAGTTTTGCCCAGATGTATCTGGGGTGACAGGCTACCATTCTGGGTCAATACAGGTTGCTTAGAATCACTAACAGGGATAATTTTGGACTCCAAAGAATGAACTAATGGTTGTGTTGTAGTCTGGTTAACTGGATTAACTGTAGGAGGCTTATTTATGTCTAGAAGTGTCTTTGATGTCAGTGGTGCTAGATTTATAATTTCACAGGGAAGTTGAGATGAACTACTATTCTGTTTGCAACAAGAAGTGCTGAAAGGGATGGCACAAAACACAAGATCCGAGGGCAGCAGCTTAAAATCATTGGCTGGCCGGATAATCACAAACCTGTAAGAAAAGCCAGAGATGAGTTCTGAGCCTCTGCAGCTGGGACAATGTGGCTACAGGCAATGGCCAAAATAATAAGTTCATTTTCCTAGACCAAAAGACGAAATGCTTTTGTTTTGCTTCGTTTGCTTCATTGGTCTCTGATGAATAGTAAATATCTCTGGCACAATAGTGCAACAGGAGAAGTCCCAGACTAGGAACTGGAAGACTAGTTTTCATCCCCGCCTCTGAACCCAACCATCTCTGACTCTGGGCATGGCATCTCCCTTCTCTGGGTCTTGCTTTTCTCACCATTTTCATGGGAGACGGTTAGGACTGGAGTTTGGCCTGATCGATCTCTAACGGCCTTTCTGACTCCAGGTTTCTCTGCTTTTAATGTCCATACTAATGAATTCATTGGCACATGCTGGGCACTTAGCCAAGCTTTGTCAAAACTGGAAGATTACATGCACTCCAGATATTTCCACCCTAGCTTATACCTACCTAAATGCTTCTGCCACCAACTTTCACTCAGAATGTAGTGTGGCCAATGAAGAAAAGAAAAAACAATTATACCAAAGTTCTATTTGAAACCTTGACTGGTAAGCAAAGAGTGAATGTCAATGAGTCTTAAAGAACACCCAGAGCCTGGAGCTGCATGGAAAGACTGTAGGAAGGCAGGATGCCTTAGCACAATATCAGGCACACAGCAAACCCTCCATACACATGAGTTAAATGAACTAATACACCAGTGTTGATGTCAGAACACTGAAGCAGGATAACCTTTCCTGACTTTCATCCTACATGTCTTCATTGCTGCCCCAAATGACCACCTCTTCTTTCCAAAACACCCAGCTCCACGCACCATTGACCTTCTTTCACTGAATAATCTTCCTGCTTTCATCTTTCCCACTGAGTGTCCTGTCACCTCCATGATATTCTAAATAAGATCTACTATAATCACAGACTCCCTTTAAGACAGAAACATCATTTCCTTCCCTGATGTCCTCTCAAATATGGGGTGTATATTCTCCCAATTACCATGTTCCATAGGTTTTCCAGAGGTGTTGGAGAAAGGGATGGAGTCCAGGCAGAGAGAGAGAGCAAGAGATTGATATCACTCATGCTTCCCAATGCTGCTTCCAGAACATCATTCCTCCTCCACCATCTTTGTGTTTAATGCTGTACAGCCATATCCTCCTCCCTCTTCATTCATCAGTGGCATCTATAGACCTTCTTATTTATTTGGGCCTTTGGCACTTGGAACACTTTTTCTTTCAAACTCTAGTGCCACCATCCTCTTATGTGCCTGCAGTGTGTATGTGGTTTACAATTCCAATATCCAGACACATTTCTTTAATTTCAACTCCTCAGTGATCTTTATCTCCAATCCACTTTCCTGGCAAGATGCTGGATGCTGTAATTTCCTGACATCTCCCAAATTTTATGCTTCAATAAATCACTCTCTGACTACAACTTCCCATCATTCCTTCTCTCTCATTCCTGTACTCTGAGTACATCTACTCTTTAACTTCATCAGGATTTCCAATCCTTTGTCCTTTGACTTTACAGTGTAGTATTGTTTCTACAAGTCCGCAATAAGCCTCTTCTTCTGTTCCTCAGTAGTTAATCTAAACTTTTACCTCTTTCTCAACTCCTTATAATACTTCCTCCATCTTATCTCTCAGAAATAGCTGTGTCTGTACCTCACTGAGAAATTCTAGGGTTACATAAAAATTCCCATAGGCACTCCCCTCACCTATAGCTATATCTGCCTTGGCACCCATTCTTTTCTGCTATGAGCAGAGAACTGTCTTTCTTTCTATTCAAGACTACCCCACTTTGAGTAATTTGGCTTCCTTCCCCTTTCTCCTGGAACAAGTTTCCATCAATCTATTTCCACTCTATTATTTTTAATTTCTCTTTCTCTACAGAGTCCTGCCCATCTCCACTGTGAGAATCTTAGTTTGGACTGACATTACTGTTGTCTTTAGAATGCACTCTCTCTTTTCTCTTCCTGGCCTCTACATACATTTCCTCTATCTTCCCCTAAACTGCTGTCAGATTGATCATTCTTTAAACTGAAATCTGAGTATATCACCCACCTAATTTATATGTACAAAGCACAGTGGCTAGAAAAGAGACACTCAGTAAATATTTAGCAATGAGTCCAGCAGAATACAATCTTTCCAATGTGGTCAGTGGCTTTCAGCTTTAAAAAGTTGTGTAGATATGGATGAGGGGTAAGTTACAAAAGAACTCCGATTTAAAATCTGGGTCTACATTTCAATTTCCATTGGGGACAGATACCTTTCTTCTTATATGGCCAATACTAATTGAACCCTGACCATAGGGGTTCATTCACGTTATTTATACCTATCCTTCTTATTCCTACATTGTTATCTGCTTCCCCTGTACCCTTCTTTGAAACTGTGGACCCTGAGCTCTGGACTTCTGCTTCACATTGAATACAGTAACTTTCGCTCTCATGCCTGGATGGACAGCTACCACTTCCCAAACTAGTGTACTCCCCTTTTGCGTTCCGGGTTGCGCTCCTCTTCATCCATCATGCGGTATAAGCCAAGGCACAGGATTCCAATACTATCTAATGAGCCACAGAACAACTGCCCAAAGGTCTTTCTTGGCTGGGGAGAGAAGACAAAAACATGTGTCTGTTGGCACTTTAATGTAGTAATGGAAAGCACTTACTATCATTTGCCTTTACTTGTAGTAGAAGTTTGCAAGACCCAAAAGTCATTTCCTAATAACTGCATGGTGGCTGTGTCAAGTGCCTTGGAAATCAAGTTTATGATTAGTTTTGGGCATCTAATCCTAGTGTTTGTTTTTATCACTCTGGTCTTCCAAGAGCCTTGTAGGTATGATGTGGCACATTGTTATGCTCATTTTTATTACTACTGCTGTTTTGGTAACCATTAAGAAGTAACAATGAGCAACAGCTTGGAAAATTCAGTTTTCAAGGTAGATAATGAGTTGGGATGTTAGGTGACGTCCAGGGAGTGATCTTCTTATCCCACTCTAAAACAGATTATAGCCCCAAGCACTCGTCTGGACCTCGCTCTCAGGCTAGAGCCAACAAGGCACTACCGGGAGATGACAGGTTCAAAAGCAGAGGCGAATGGATTGAGTGAAGTCAAAAGGCAATAGTTTGTTCACCTCTGTGCTTCCTCAGAGTAAAGAACAAAGTGAGGACAAGACATAAACTGAGAAAGGAAGGAGAGGAGTGTTGAGCAGTCCACTGTCACCTCTGATACCAACAGGAAGTTGCCAGCAGCAGTTGTCTTGGGCTTATAATGACTCACAAGTCAACCTTAGGTGAGGAGCGCCAGGCCACAGACCGGCAACGGACAGACCAGACTGAGGGAACTTTGGAATATTGTTTGCATCTGGAACTCAGAGGCACAGAGCATGGGGCTTGCCCTTTTTGGCAGTATCTGTCAAGACACACCAGGCCCAGAGGCCAGAAGAGTCCGCTGTTTGTGAAAGGGGCTCTGCTGATGTCCTCTGAACTAACAAAAGATGTTTCTTTATAAAGGCCTGCCCCTGATAATAACACTGGATAGCCGAATGCAGTGTCAATCAAAACTAAACCAGGGGCCGCCCAGTGGTGCAGTGGTTAAGTTCGTGTGCTTTGCTTCTGCAGCTTGTGTTCACTGGTTTGGATCCTGGGTGCAGACCTATGCACCACTTATCAAGCCATGCTGTGGCAGGTGTCCCACGTATAAAATAGAGGAAGATGGGCACAGATGTTAGCTCATGGCCAATCTTCCTCAACAAAAAAGAGGAGGATTGGCAGCAGATGTTAGTTCGGGGCTAATCTTCATGCAAAAAAAAACTAAACCCAAATGCACCAATCTAACCGATATGTAGATTACTCATTCCCAGACTGGATGTTAATCTGATCCCCGCGTACCTGGATGCCCCATTGGAATTTGCCAGAATTTTTATCTTCTCCCTTGCTGGAATCTGCTGTTCACTAGCTCAGTGGACTAAGGAAACAAGCATTTTCCACTGGCTAGCCCAGTCACGTTCTTGGACTCTAACACAGAATCCTTCTGCTGATTTCAGCTGACCCAATCAGACTTCTTTAGCAGTTCGGGTGTAGGCGGAGTGGGCAGACCCTGGCTCAGGCTGCCTTAGAGGGACCCTTGCTTTGCCACTGGGAGACGGTGCGGTCTCAGGTAAGTATTGTTTCCCTGGGTCTCAGCTTCTTGATCGGTTCAATGAAATTAATAATGCAAATGCTTGGACAGATTAAGTGAAGAAAACCAACGCAGACAGGCACAGGGGAAATGCTCAGTAAATATTAGCTATTACAATTATTATTAACACCCTTGTCAAGGTATAAAGTTATTGGAGCCCCTGATGCTTCCTGCAGACTTGGATTTTTTTATCTGGAAGATGGGGATAATAACAACAGCTTTATCTATCTTCCGGAATTGTTGTAAAAAGTAAATATAACACATTAAAATGCACTGTAAATTGTAAAATACTCTCTGAATACAAGGTTGTATGAATTTGTTTTTAGTGTCATTATTTCTGTGCTACAGGCCATCTACAAACTCAAACAGTCTGGATCATTTTCAGAAACTCAGAGAAGTAAGGAAGTGGGAAACTCTCTTATGATAAGAGTAGACTCACTTGAATGTCTGACAAAATGGTTTGATTTAAGGACAGAAGCCCCAGTTTACAACGTGTTGTGCCAGACAAAATTGTAGAGTAGCTCTTGGGCACCCCAGAGAACTTATCCTTGTCCAAATGATGTTCCAGCTGAGAACTTATCCCTCCTGTTACCAGCATCTGAAGTAATTCCAGGACATGGTAATTGTAGAAGGCCTGGAAAGCAAGGACAAGCCACGTGCAAAGTCAGAAGAGCCAATACGGAAATGGTGGAAGTATACAGACTTGGAGATTTCGTGGACATCACTGTTTGAAATGGACCTGATGGTGTAAAGCAGTGTCTCTCATTACCATTATTAAAATTAGCTAAAAGTTGGCAGTTTGGGAAGGGCACTGGGTTAGGTGCTATGCAGAGAAAATAACACTTACCCAGTTCCTGCTCCCTCAGGGCTTACACTGTAGCAGAAGGAGAAAATGAGTAATGATACTGACACCAAGGATGTCCCCTCTTCCAAAAATCACCTGAAGAACAGGTCGGACCATGGATACCCTAATAATCATCAACATATATTTAAAAATATGTATTTAGTGAGACTTGGATAGATTTTTCCTTAGGGGACTACTGATAGTATTATTGTCATCTATACTTATATCTTCTGGATGTGAATTTCCTTGTATTCCTTTTGAACGTGACCTACTTGAGGACAAAGATTGACTTAGGTCTTATTAATATTTAGATCTTCCATAGCTCTTATGGTACACTTCACAAATTGTAGGTGTTGAATAAATAAATGGAATTTTAGAATTGTTGGCAGCAAAATGAAACCAGAGGAAGACACGCGGGCCAACTTTTATTTTTAAACTACCCTGAGTCTGCATAATCCTAGCCATTTTCTTAAACTCCTTTTCCAAAGGATCCCTACCACTTTCAGTGTAAACTAGGCATTGACATATACGTAATTAGCATTGTAATATATTACCCATTAGGTTTTCTCAAATCTATTAAATACATAATTTTCAAAATTTTCTACCTTTTGTTTTATCTAAATTCAACTTTTAACAGTAGACATGACAATTTATATGTTTATATATCATCTATATAAAAATCAAAAATCTTGTTTTCATTATAAATATATAAGCATGACTTCAATTGTTATTATTCTAGAAATTTTGCCATTCACTTTACTCTCAAATTCGGAAACATCTTCTGAAGCCTAGATTATGATAAGAACCCTCTTTACTAGTCTTCCTTGTTTTTCCTCTCATTTGCAATCCATTGTGCAAAATGCTTCCAGAGAGATTCTCTAGAAACACAAATCAGATCACCCCATCCACTTCTCCAAACCTTTAGTGTCATACCCCTGCTGTAAAACCAAGCTTCTCTCCCCCATGAATGGTCCCCCAGTGCACAATAGTCTATCTGTAATCGCTCAAGCTATACGTTTACTCCTTCAAGCCTTTGCTTTGGAACATCTGGTTCATCTCTCATCAACTTGGCGAACACTTTGCTGGCTTCCTCATCAGAACGAAGTTTTTTTTTCTTTGTGATCCCATGGTCACTGGCTTTTACTCTATTTCATTCTTCCGTATTTTATAGTTAGTGGTTTATCTGAAACACATCTGAGTTTGGTTCTTGGACTGGCATGTCCTAGCTGAATACCTTTGGACAATTCATGTATTGTTTCTCGGCAACAGTTTTATGATCTTTAAAGCTGACGCGATAATACCTACCTTTGAGTGTTGTTTGCAGGATTAAATGAGATACAGAGCAAACATTATTAAACTCCACTCTTTTCAACATTAGTTCTTATGTATCTGGATCACTTAGAGTGATATTCAAGAGTGCAGGTTTCTGGGATCCCAGATCTACTGGGTCAGAATTTAAAGGGTACCTCTGGTGGTTCTGACACTGGTGGTCCTCAGATCACACTCTGAGCAACACTTCCTTAAATTATATGCTCTTTCAGAGGACAGACTTTGTCTTCTTAACAGTCATGTCCTCGACAGTGCCTTGAACAAGGAGTGCATTTAAAAGCTGTAAGAACTGCAATTAGCAGTTGATTTTTAACAAATAAATATTGCTAATAAAATGTAGGGGCCATTGGAAAAAGGTAACCTAGGAAATAATATAATCTACATAAATTGAGAGAAAATAAAAAGAAAAGAGCTTCTATAATACTTTTCAGATTAAAAGATGACTTCAAATGCCTTCTCCACTCTAATGTCCAGACTGAGGGAATCACCTGAGTGACAGCGTCCTCCTCACATTTCTTCCCTGTTCCGTCCCGCCACCACCCAGAAGGGTATTGTGGAATTGGCTCCCTGAAATCCAGGAGGGAAGGGAGGCTGTAAATCCAGGTCGAGCCACAATCCGTTTAAGAACAAGTGGCCGTAGTGTAGAGTGATCAAACATAATGCTGTTAGAATAATTCCCCACTGATTAAAGATAAGGTGTAAATTCCAGGGTTATCCTGGTGTCCACGGCTCTATGAAAACAGGTACTTTACATATTTAACTGAGAGAGGCTTAGCTTTTGAATATATCATTTCTTCAGTTTCGACATCAAAAGGATTGCAATTCTATACTGGGGAAAATAAAGGGATTTACATGTCACCCTTTGTGAGCTCATCTCATATTCTTATGATTCGGAGTTCTGTGGTATTGGGCTTATGGGTCTCTTTTTTCCTTCCTTTTTTTCTTTCTTAAGAAAATACGAAAGTTGAAATGTGCTTGAAATATTTTAAGACTTCTAAACTTGGATAGTGTTTCTAATATAATCAGATTTACTAGAATTTGGACTTCCACTGTTAGAAAACGTGGGAGCCCTAACTGTTTTAACTTTGAGCTGTGAGGAAGCCTGAGATCTCTCTCACAATCTACAATATTACTTAATAATAAAGATATTAACATCCTGGCCACTTGCTGCTTTTTATTCTGAGCATCTCAAAAGGACTTAAGACCAAACATTCTCAGAGAAATACATCTAATTGAGAATGAGGCTATGTGGGAAGAGAACTGCAACTAACCAGCTGAGTGACCTCGAGAATATCATGAAACGTTTGTGGGCCTCAAGTTCCTTAAAAGTAAAGGAAATTGCCCCTAAGTTCACACCCAGTTATGAAGTTCTATTCTTGTAAAACCATATGGAAGCCCTACTTGTGGGCCTGAGTACTTCTCCATATTTTAATTTTGGTAGCACTGAACTGATAGAGCATTAGAAGTGAATCCGAATTATACCTCCTAGGCATGTTTCTCTAACAGGGGTGGAAGTTTACGGTAGTATACCACAGGATACTTGAAGCCAGAGTGCCAACCGTATCAGGAGATTTGGAGGAGAAACCCATTATTTTATACTGAAAAAAATCACAAATGTATCAGGGGATATAATGAAAAAAAAATACATGAAAATCTAAAACAAAACCAGTATTTCTCCACAGCGACAAGTTCACAGCCCGATACTCAGGACTTGCACGTTCATTCTCCCACGTGTTTCTGAAGATTACTTGGAGGACGGGTGGAGAGGTACCGTGAATTCTTCTGAGCACACATGAGAAGAGAGAGGGCCCTAAACATCAGGTTGGAAATACAGTTCGCCATGACTGGAGCCAAGACTGGTGATCTCATCTTGTTTCAGAAACTGCTGAGGCATTAGCCCCTTTTCCTGAGGGAGTCAGTTGTGAACGTGTCTGTTTTTAGCCTCGCCCTTCTGGGTAGGATAGGTGTCAGGGAAACAAACATTTGATTCTAGTTATAACTCTGTGCAGCAACGGGAAACAGATCTTGTGGTGCGTTATGCTGGGCGGCAGGTTGGAAGAGTAAAACCTGGAGGATGTTCTTTGGGGAGGGAAATGATGGCACATGCAAAATGTGCCAGAATGGCTGACTCCCATCCTCCGTGCAGGACTCCTCATGGGAACCCGGAAACCGGTCTCAGAATAGAGGAGAACAGGCCTCTGGGTCTAATTTTATGCCTCTCTGTTTGTCATATATTCTAACTTCTAGGGAGTGGTTTTCAAAGTCTTCTTAACAACAGAAATCCTTACATGGGAGATTCATATACAACACAGATGAAAGTAGAGTTGTTCTGATGAGGGAAGGTGTGGGTGGGTACAGTGGGGTCTCCTTCTCCCTGCCTGTCTCCTCAGCAACTCCTGAGCACTCTGGAAGATGGACTCCTCTAAGCAAAACGTCAGTGTATTGAAAGGATACATCTAATAACAGAACAAGACTTCTGGAGTGGCAGCGGATTGTAGTAGTAACTTCTGAATCTGGAATCAGATGAATTTGAGTCTGAACACCAACTCATCATCTCTTTGGCATATTATTTACCTCTCTAAGCTTCAGATTCTTCATCTGTAAAATGAGGCTAATAATTGTATTCTTTTAATTGGATTGACAGACGAATTACACAAGGTGATGTAGGTAACGCGCTTAGCAAAGACCCTGGCACAACATAAGCACCTGAGAGATGCTGCTATTACTGTTCCTATCGCAGATATTGCTCAAATTATTAATATTATCTCAATGATAAAACTTAGAAGAAGTTGCCTTAAGGTCTGTGTTGGGAAAGACTTACAGGTATGAGCTGAAGGCACGAGACTGTGATCATTAGTGGTGTCCACCATGGGAGTTTGCTAGAGGGTGAGATACCCTGGGGCCCATAACTGTCATCGTAACTTTAAGGGGAGAGGGGTATTTTGCCTTCCTCCCACACTTTTCTACAAGGAGATGCTCTAATATGTGTGGAGAATAAAATGGAGTGTGGGAGAACATATTCTGGAGGCACCACAGTGGCCCCAAATGTTTTTAGTGCAAAAGGATAAATGTTCTCTTTCTCTCTGAGGCTCCTGCTCTCATTGCCACATGGTCAGGGGACCAGCCAAGATCAAAAGGCACTCAGAAGGGGGAAGACAATGGAATTAGGGGCTAAGGCCTAACCCTTGGGCTCTTTTTTCCTGTGTGGCTGCTATGTTAGGAAGTCATCCCCACCCAGAGAAGGCCAAGTCGAGCAAATTGTACCTGGCTCAGAGGGAAGGGGAATAAGTGTGGGCAGTATTCTCTGATTATTTTTGAAGGTCTAGTTCAGCTCATCATGGCTGGAGATTTAAGGCTGAAGCTCTGAATAGTATTAAAGTGTGTTTGCTTCGCTGTGCCATATATCAGAAGCTGGGGCAGAAGGCCACTAGGTAGAGATTTAGAGGGTGAAGATCCCAGCCGGCCCCCTTAACGTAAAGGATGCTTTCTACCCTAAAGCGCCATTGCCATTTCAGTTGACCAAGTGCCCGTCCTAAACTAAGCACTTACCAGGAATCCTCAAGGACAAGCTAATGGTCCAGTGTGGCTTGTGTCATCATACAACCCTTCCCCTATATCAGGCCACAGCATGTGGCTTGTTCACTCTCCCACAGACTTCATCACGGGGCCTCAGAAGACTCCTGAGTTTTCACCTAGCTTATTTCATTTTCCAGCAGGATTAGATTGTCCTCTCCCTCTGAGAAGCCCATTGATACAATATCCAAAGGCAGCCTAGGAGGAAGGGGGACTCCTCACAAGCTCACAAGGTCACACTCATGTGGCCAGTGATGAGAGGCCCAGCAGCTGACTCTTATAACCAAGCTCCTGTTTCCTCTGCTGGCTTGTGTGATGTGTTCACTGGTATTTGTTTATGCTCTATCAGTCCTTCTCTGCCCATCCTGCTCTTCCCACCAACTCTAAAGAGAACCTGTGACTTCATTCCTACCTGTGTGGGTAGTAGAGTTTAATTAAGGCTCAAGTTTAATTTAAGGCACCAAGCTGCCTCCTATCTAGGGATCTCTGAGGAGGACTAGGACCTTAAACCCATCTACACTTATCCTGCAGACAGGACCAGTTCATCAAAAGTCACCTCCTGCTTCACACTCCAGTCATTAATCACAGACAAGCTAATTGACCTAAAGTGACAGACGGTGATAACACGCTTTCCTTGACAGAGCCGCCTTCCCAGAACAGCAACCTTGCTTTACTCCCTCCGGTACATCTCTCCATGGCTCAGTCAAGGCTGAGTGCTGCTTAACCCTTTAGGAAAACCACAGTCTACCAACCAGTTTAATGTTAAATTATCATTGATATGGTATTATCTTCCTGAGAGCTCGATGAGTTTGTGAGATCCCCCCAACCCCTAAAGGCTTAGAGGGGCAGAGCCCAGGGCAACATAATCTCCTTAGGACCAAATGACATTGAAGCTTCAGTCATGAGGGTGATGCACATGTCCTAGTCACATTCCCCTAAAAGTGCACACCGCACTTTGGAGGCATCCATACAATTCAGGAATGATGCCTCTTCTACATGGAATTCCAGAAGGCAGCAAGTTTATCAAACTGTGCTCAGAGCCTTGGGCACTTAAGCATTTGTATGTTGATATTCAGCCTTGTTGGAACCTTTCCCTTGGAAAATCCAGGTGGGAAGAGTCTGTGAGGTAGCGGGTTACAAGGATTTCCTTTCGAGGAGTTCTTGCAGCCATTCACAAATGGCTACACTCAGATTTTGCGTGTCTTTGTCAAATTTCCAGAACACACTGGGCATGCTCCCACCTCTGCCCTTCTTCCCTCTGCCTGCAGTGTTTCCTCCCCAAAGATCAGAATGGCGTGTGCTCTCCTCTCCCCCAGAACTTGACTCATATAGCACCTTCCCAGGGCTGCCTCCCCTGGCCGCATTATTGAAACATGCAACTCCTTCCCCAAACCCTACATTGCCTATCTCACATCACCTTATCCCTCTATCTGTCTGACATACCTGCTATGTTCCTTCTTATCATGTCTATGGCAATCTCCTCCACCAGCATGAGTTCCACATGGGCAGAGACTTTTGTCTGTTCCATTGCTGCTGTTTCCCAGCCCCCAGCACAGTGCCCTGCACAGAGTAGGTGCTCAAAAGGTATTCATACAATGAATTAGTTCTATGTACAGAAATCCTGTAGTTGATACAAGGGATCAGCATTGTGGTCAAAGAGATGCTGAGAGCTAAAGAACAACCAGGTGGTCAAACATGCACCCCAAGTGAGGGGCAAGGAGAAGAGAGATTTGACTTTGCTCTGAACAAAACTTACACCACCAAAGGCCAAAGCTTTTCCCTTAAACCCAGTGTCCCTTTACAGCTGCCTTCTCTGTAAGCTGTTGGGGATATTTTAGAGAGAAGAGACGGCAATGTTTCCTAAGCTCTGACACCAAAGGGCCTGATCTGCTGAGATGCACCTGAAGCCAAAAGGCAGTCTCTCTGCCACTTATGCCCTCGTTCATCCTGGTATCAAGTGTTCCAGCTCTAACACCCTCGAGTTTTTAATCTTGAAAGTGTGAAAATTTTGCTTCCCTTGTCCACTGGTTGTGAGAAAAGATGGAATAATGTATGTGAATAAGCTTTCTTGGAAAATCAAAGAGAACTTAGAATTGTGAGGCATTATCATCATCTACCCAAGCCCTAAGCCATCCGTTCTCCCTCTGCAAGGGGCTTGGTCCTGGGGGCTCCTTGGCTCAGCTCTACTTACTGTGGCCAGGAGGGAATCCAAGAAGCTGCCGGAAAAGACAGTGCCTGTGGCAAAGGAAGTGCTGAGATGCAGGCTTGTTCCAGAGAGATCTCCTTCCATTCCACCAAGCTGTTCAATAAAGTGGACGTTGGAAGGATTTTCTGCAAATCAAAAGAGGTCAAAAAAAAAAACAAAAAAAGAAAAAAGAACAAAGGTAGGCAGACAAGCTTAGGAATATAAGACTACCATACAAGGCAGGGCAAAAGGTGACCACTTAATCAAAGGATTTGATGCCTACTCTGGGGTCAGTGTGGGATCTACCTCTCCTTCAATACCTTTTCTTGTCTTTCCAAGTATCTTCTTCCTCTAAAGACATGTATCCCTCCTGGGTACCTTCATCATCAAGGGGATATCTTTGTGCCTCCAGCCCAGTGTCTCCAAGCAAGTGTCCTAATTGTCACCCGCATATAATTTGTCTTTCAAACAAGGACACTTTTGGAAGTGAAGGGGAGGCACTCTCAATGATGGCACTGGACAATAGGCATAAATAGAACATGTGATCACCCCAGTTATAGTCTTTTTTCATACCATGACTTGGTATTTATTTGGGTTTCTAGAGTTATCCAGGCCCAGAAGGAGTTAAAGTAGTATCTCTCAAAACTTAATGTGCATATGAATCACCTGAGGCTCTTTTACAACACAGATTCTGATTCACAGGTCGAGCTAGGGTAGGGCCTGAGATTCTAGCGTCCAACAAGCTTCCAGATGCTACTCATTCATATTCTACACTTTGAGCAGCAAGGCCTCAGAGAATCATCCTAATTGAGGACAATGTAGCAGTGGCCAAATTATCCATTAGCATATCTATATTGGCCCCAGGCTGAAACTCAGACCCTTGTGGGTGGCCTCTGAGGGAATGCAATTGGTTTTTGTTGGCAGTGTGGGCAGAGGTACTGATCTTCTTTGTTCCAAGTCTGTTGCTTCAAAAGTGTTTGTGTAGAGAATAGCATTGGAAGATAGAAATATCTCCCACCAGAGCAAAGAGAAGGCATGCTTATTTCCCACTATAAAAGATCCTGGTTCCCTAAGTTCTGGGTACCTCTCTTATAAAGCAATCCATGGTGGGTACAGGTATCACCTGGCCCTTCTCATGCCACCATGTGGGAATGAGGTCTTGGGCAACCAGCACAAAACAGGACACTCTGGCTACTGCTATTGCTGTGAATAATAACTGCTCTTTATTTCTGACCCAGCGGTCTTGTGTCCTCTGCCAGCATCCATGAAACTGTGGCAGGTTAACTTCTTAGTTTGCAAGGAGCACAAAGTCTTAGACCCTTCACAGTTCTTGACAGTCACATTACAGATCAAAAAAAAAAAACAAAAAAAAAAACCTACTAGATAGACAACTCAGAATACATTCCTGACTAAGATTGGATTATTCCCTAATTCTTTAATTGTTCCTTATTAAGTTTGGGGGAAATGATATACTGCTGGTATTAGTGAATCATTTTCCTCTAAGTACTACATACTTTTATAAAAGATGAGCAGTGTATGACTAATATCAACCCACATTTCCTATGTACACACACTTTCCTCTCCTCGCATTGCCAACCCTCAATGCACACACCTATCCCAGGAGCCCTTGTCCAAATCTGACTGTGTTATCCTAAACCAGCAGCCTCAGTTTCTCTAGCTATTTTCCTTATTTTTCTGTAGTTCACTGTACATTCTGTACCAAAGTGCTGGCAGTCAGACCTGTAACTCTCATGTAATTGTGACCCTTTCCAGCCGGAACAAGAACAAAAAACTAAGTGAGCTGGCAGATGACTTGTCAGGCTAATTTGACAAGGGCCACCTAGTGCCAGAAAGCCTTTAGTTGAACAAAGACATAAGTCCCTGGAGAAGGACCAGATACACTTCTGGGCCTGTGAGAAGCTGGCTGATTCCGTTCCAAATACTCTTACATTACAGTCTTCTAATCAATGTCCTTGGTATATATACACCTCGGAGTTAGAGATGGTTCAAAAGGTAGAAAAATTAAAAGTAAAAAATGTAGCTGACAGTTTTGAGAGGGTTACAAATGGGCTGGCAGGTACAAGTCAGGATCAAGAGATCTGAGATCTTCAAAGCTGGATCCGAAGAGATGCTGGTCCGGGATTCAGGGGGACTAGACTCTTTCCCACCTACTGCATTGTCACTCCCAGACAACTTGGTAATGTCACCTACTGATTCCTCTCTTTGTACCCTTGCTTCATTTCTGGGACTTCATTTCTGGGTTCATCTAGTTTGGTATAAGTCTCACTCAGCTTAGATACCCTGAATCATAGAATGCCCATTAGGAATCTTGCTACACTATACAATCGAGTCAAATCACATGCTCAGGACCAGCTTTAGAGATCATCTTTGAGTTGGTCCAATCTTTGTTAAAGGCACCATTCACCTCTCTGGCATCTTCCCCTCTTTTCATCAGTTATTACCAGTATTAAATCCCAGTGTGTCCCCTAGTGCCTCACAAACATACCCCAAAATGCACCCAGTCACCTTCCCTGTCTTCCCTTCCCTTCTTTCTGCTCTCAGAGCTCCTCATATCTAGGAAAGTTTCATGTATGTGCATTTTCCATAAGGTGTTGGTGAGAGATAGAAGTTTATCCTGTTATTTCTGCATGGAGTACTTCCATTTCAGAAGAGCACCACTCAGAGCCGGGCTTAAGATGATACAGGGAGACTCCTGGGACACAAAATTTAAGGACCCCAAGAGTGAATGTCTCCTTAAAGTCTGCACCCTGGGTGCCTTACTTTCCTCACCCCAACGCCAGTGCTGCTATCACTACAGGAAAGGAAGCTGCCTGACCTAAGCTCCATGATGGGTAGGTAAGTTGGTATACAGAGCTCCTTTCTAGCAGTCTTCAAGTCCATGTCCCAGCCTGTGGGAGATTCGCTCTCAGTGAGACTGAGCCAGTTGCTGGTCTCCCTTTTCTGATAACTGGAAGAGTGGAGAAAGCAGATGCTATTCCTGCATCCTGACACCCAGATCTAGCATGCTTTGCTGGATGATGTCACCAATTGGGTAAAAGCCTGGTGTAAAGTCCAGTCAAGTACTTAATGCTCTCTAGGCCACGTTCTGGTTCCCCAGTCCTTGGATTGTGGATTTTAAAAAGAAACTTGGAACATCAATCATGGCTCACAAAGATTTGTCCCTTGAATTTTGTCTTTGAAACACAACTTACTCAGTTCAGTGAGAATGGGAATTCTTCTGTAGCCTGATTTTTCAGAATATCCATTACAGCCCCTTGAAGACTCTGTAGACAGATAATAACAAAGAAGAAAAGAGATTGACAAATGTAAATAAAGTGCCTTGCAAACGTTGACAAGGATATAGAAGTACACCGTGTAACTTAAATACTTTCTCTTGGCAAAGTTACTGTCATGCCCAAATCCTAAATCCTTCTGCATATTTCCAAAAAAAAAAAAAAAAAAAAAAAAAAAAAAATTTGGGCCTCCTCAGCATCTCCTTTTGAGACATATGGTGTGTTGTGTGTGTAAGTGTGTATGTGTGTAGGTTTTCTAATTGGCACTTCACATGAATTACAAAAAAGACAAAGCTCTCCCAGTAGTTGCTCATTGACATCATAAGTAAATAATGATTACTCTCCATGGAGTGGTGGTGCTGAACAATGGCTCAGGCAGGAAGTGCTTCAAACCACATCCATTTGCTTGTATAACCTTGAGGAAACTGAACAAATGGCTGTTCCATCAGTGCTTTTGGAGACATCATGACTAGTTTCTGGCTCTTTGAGATCCTCTCTGGGCTGGAGCACTGCTCATGTCTTCTTTCTTCTTCAGCTGAACTGGCTGCTTCCCATCTCTGGTTAGTCTGCCTCAACCTGGAATGCCTTTGGAGCTCCTTAAAGACTGGGTAGAGTGTCACTGGGGGCCTCTGACCTTTGAATTCAGCTACAGACAGACTTCCCTCCTGCCTTTGGTCTAGTCTCATCTAGTCTCTCCAAAAGAGAGCGGATGCTCAGCACTGGTCTGAAACACAGCATGATCACATGATGAACCATGAAGAGTTTCAAAGAAAAAAAGCAGGATACCAGAGTTTGGGTCTCCAAATTAAAATAAAAAATGTAAAGAAAGAAAAAAGAAGAGAGAAATGGGAATCGGGGTCTCGTTAACAAACAAAACCACACACAAGGATCTCATCAGAAGTTATGCTTTAAAACTGTTGGTTACCTTTCTTGAACTTTCCCTAGAATATCACGTAATGGGGAAAAAATACTGTGAAAGCTAAAATTCTACTTGTAGTTAAAATTCTCTGCTGCCTTGGAAGAAGGTGAAATATTTGGAGGATCCTTTGTTTCCTGAGCCAGGTAGGTGGCAGGGGAGGGAGAGTGAAAAGTGGAGTGAAGGGAGATGAGCTAGGTGGTAAGACAGCCCAAGAGACAGACAAAGAGAGGCTGTGGAGATCTAGTCATGGGGATGGGGATGTGGAAAGAGAAAATCCAAAAAGAGATTGTTTTCAGAAAGAATGCCACTTACTACAATATTTACCATCTCTTCCATCTCCCCAAGAAGTATTCAATAAAAAGCCTTCACTTCTTATTAATGCAGAGTAGAGCTGATTATATTTTTGATAGCCACTAAACTTCTGAGTCATGCTTCAAGGACGATTCAGGGTAAAAACAGAAGCCCCACGGGAAGAGCTCAACACATCTGGTTTACAGTTAGACCTGACCTTAGTAATTTAGTAAAACCCTTTAACTTCAGGTGAGGGAATGGAAGTCCATTTGCTCTGACACTGGCTGAAGGACAGCAGCTGACTTTCTACCTTAACTCCATCTTTTCCTTGTTCACACTGCTATTTAAGAGGAAGATTTACATTGATGGCTAAGAGTTCAGACATCCTAATATCCTGGTAAATCTTATTCATGATGGGATCTGAATACCTTAAGCTGTTTTCCCTAAAAAAATCTCTGGGGATTTCCATAATGCAGGAAGACTTGGGGCGAATGAGATTCTACTTTATTCCCAGAACTGTGAGAGATGGTTTATGTACCTTTCCTCCCTTCCTTCCTCCCTTCCTTTCTTCCTTCTACAAATATTTAGAGTATATACTCCATGCTAGGACTGTGAAGAGTCCCTGCCCCAGAGACATACCACATGTTGCAAATACAAAATTTTTCCATATAGTGATGGGGGCTGCAAAAAACCCAAACCTTTAGGTGGTAGGTTACTTTAGACAGGGTTTGAGGAGAGGCTTCTCCGACAGTGGAACAGAGTCCTGAGGGATGAGAAAAATTCCCTCCAGGCAGAGGGAATGGCATAGGGGACCTAAGGTAGGAAAGAGCCAGTATAAAAAGGATGAAATAGGAGAAAATTCAAACTCCCTATTGGCCTGCAGGACCCTATATGATATTCCTATATTTGTCATGAATCACCATTGTGGTTTAAAGAAGGGAATTGGCATTATCTGATAAATATCTGTAAACGGTCCCTCTGGCTGCTGTAAGCAGTAGAAAGAGTAGGGAGATAAGAATTATACCACGGTCACATCAAGTCTGTGAATTAATGAAGATGGGAAAACTGACTCAGGCTTTACATACCTTGCCTAAGATTATATAGCTTAGAAACGGTGGATGGGTTTTCATACTCTGATGAGCACCAAGATCAAAGCCCATGCCATTTTTAATTTGTAGCCCTACTAAAATATACAAAGTTTGGCTGGCATTTTCAGTAAGACATTGAGATCAGTTTCCCTCAAAGAGGAAATTCTCCTTTGACCCCTACTTTTTGATTCCAATTCCCTGAACAAAGGGCTTGGAAAATCCTAACTTTCAGAGTCAAATGTTCTCATTGGATACAGACGTATCCACATCGGCTGAAGTGACTGCTTAAATGTCTGCTTCTGACACCAGCTGAAGGATGGCAGCTGACTTTCTGCCTTAACTCCATCTTTTCCTGTACAGCAATAGTTAATTTGAATATGTGTCAGATCATAGCCTGGGCACATTTTACTAATGTCAATATTTTTCTACCTAATAGTACACAGTATTATACCTGAAATCTTCCAGGCTGGCAGGTTGCTATTACAAAAGATTGCTTAATTGTAGATTACTACTGTACATTTAAATTTCAGTAGCATATTAAGTTGTCAGACTTAATTACCGTTATATGTTTAGATTATGCCACAGATTATTTAGTTCAGTACCTAGGTTTGCCTACCTGTTCTCTTTATGACGTGACAGGGCAGTAATTACAATATCACTGGAAAACCTGAAGTTTTCCATGGAGGTGTCCAGGAGGCCCAGCGTTCTTACTGATCCTTTGGAGAGTCCTGATTCCGTTGTCCCGCCACCCCCAACATCTCTTGGTGAATCACTGTATGCAACAACCTTGATGGTCCTAGATGAGCTTCCTATGCAACTTTATTATGACCGTGAAGGTGTGGGAAAGCCTACTAATCCCACAAAAGTCTCACCAGGTAAGCCAGGGCAAGGTTTGTCAATCTCAGTACTATGGACATTTGGGGCCAAAAAGTTTTTTATTACTTGGGACTGTCCTGTGCATTATGGGATCTTTGGCAGCATCTCTCACCTCTACTCACTAGATGCCAAAAGCATCCCCCACGTTGTGACAATCAAAACTATCTCTAGACATTGTCAGATGACCTCTCAGTGCAAAATTGACCCTGGTTGAGAATAACTGTCCTAGAGGAAGGGAAAGAAAATTGTGCATCAGCCAGACTTATGTTGGTGCTCAGCACGGAAGATGCTTTCTACCTCCTGGAAGAATTTCACCATCATTTATACTTTCAATTCTTGGATGTGGGTATTCCTGTTTCCACCTCTTAGGTATGGTGCAAGAGGAGTATTAATATGAAATGGAAAGAGTGGTTAACAGAACCAAACAAGCTTCTCTGAGGATTGGGAATTTCTATATATAAACTCCAGGTAGATTTCTATGATGCCAGAGTAATTGGTGAAGTTCTGAGTAATAGTCCTTTGCTATTCATATGTGCTGACAATGTGACTTTACTGATGCTATAGCACAAGATAAACAGAATTTATGACCTTTGCTAGGTGGCACAGTAGAGCCTTTCTGGACTTATATTTCCCCATCACACAAAAGGGTATGATGACATCCACAGAAGGATGGTACAAGACCTACACAATATATTTTTCTCTAAACTTTCTCTTTTATCTTTGAGGAAAGCGCCTACTCATACTTCATGAGATTCAAATACTTTGACAGTCCTTCATTTTCTTTTCCTTCTTTCCAATCCTTTTTCCCTCTGTCCTCTATCTCCTTCTACCAATCCATTTAGTTGTTCCTTTAAGGGCAACCTTCTAGCCTATAAAAGAGCACAGGACACATCATACTTCAATATATTTTTGTTGAATGAATGAATAAATAAGAGAAAGGATGAAAATCATTAGATATAAAGGAAACTAGAATTAAAATCATAGGTTTATATCTTTCTAGCCTACATAGGATGTGAGATTAAAATAATATAATAACAGGAAAGACAAGTCACCCAGATGATTAACTAGATGGCTTCTGGTGTTGTCATTTTATCACAAGCTTTTATTGAGTGGGCATTTTCATTTGTTTATTGATGATACTGCCTTTAAAGTGAATATTTCTTTTCTTCCCAATTACAGAAAGTTGCAAGAATGATACACACATATACTCACATTCACACACCACGCACAAATCTTTTGTAAATCTGAGTGACCCTAATTGCTAAGCTAAGGATTCACAAGCTGAACACAACAGCATTTTCATGGATCTTCAGATTTTCTCAGCAGAGGTATGGCTCACACCTCCTTAGTCTGAATTTTCATGGTACTGTGATATTCATGAGGTACTTTGCTATTAGTTCTGCTTTGCAAAAACTCCTGAAATCCTGGGTGCTGAGTGGTGTTTGGTTGCTTAGTGAGGGTGTGTCAAGTAGCTGGCTCAGTGCACCTACCAAAAATTAGACTAGATTACTTGTGTATTCCTTTGTCCGAAGAACCTTATATTTTCCTTCCTAGCAACAGTGCCTAGGAGTCAGAGAGAGTTCTTTTGTATTTCCAGTTTGACTCACGAACACTTTTATCCATAGCCATAATCATGAAAGCCTTACAATGCCTTTGACATCTGACATCTCCAAGTTCCATGCAAAGTGGAATAGCTGTGGTCACCAGCTATGTGGCCAGAGGACTGAATACCTGAGCTTGATTACAGAGGATCAACAGCCCCAAGGGAAATGGCTCTATGTATGGACTCCAATCATGGTTTACCTTTATTTCTTGAATTGAAAGTCTGTTTTAGATACAGAAAATTATTCAGTAACAGCACTTTCATATTAGGTTGAGTGGCTAGTAGAACATTTGTAGAAAGCATTTTCCCATTTGGGGAGAGAAGGGAAACCACAATTTTGTAGTGGGAATTTACCTCAAGCACATTCTGGGTAGTGTAACATGTGTGGCAACTCCTCAAGAGTCCAGCTCCCTGGCTCATTGGCTTCACTTCAATAGGTGTGTATTAAGCATCTACTACTAGTTGTACTAGGCACTGAGAGAAATACAAAGGGGCAAAAGACACGAGCCCCATCCTGAAGACATCTCCATTTCTCACCGTCTCTTTCCAATTTGAAGCTGAAACATGACATTTTCAGTCTATAGAAATTGGAACGGACCTTAGAGATAATCTTCTAAAATTCATATAGTGAAAGCATCTTGAAGAGATGAGAATATATGTCATTCTCTCAACCATGAAACTAAGAATAGTAACTTGAACATCTATAAGATCCAATGAGAATTGATTGACAACAATAATACCTGTTGTTAATTACAATAATATACCAATTGTTATGTTCACTGATGGTTGATCAATAACAACAATAATAGCATTTACAATTTTGTGATTTTCCTTAAAATGGGGAAACAGTGTTATGTGCATTCCATTTACAAGAGATGAATATCATTTTTCATTTGACTTAGGATTCCCAAGGACTGAGCTGTCCACTACTTCTACGACAGCATTCTCAGAGTTGGAAGGGATCTTAGAGGACATCTGGCCCAACCTCTCCTCATCCCCATGATTAAAGTGCTTCAGAGAGGAGTTAGTTCTCTTTCCTTATTCCATTCTCCCTAGCCTATTCCTGTTAGGGAGTTGTTCTTACGTGGCTCCGAGGTTGTCTGGGTATGGCACCTAATCTTCAATGATCCGATGGCGAGGGTGGCCATGATGGTGTCTGTGTCTGCCAGAGTCGGGCTGCTTGCTGACTTGGATGGGGAGGATAAGACAGCGCACATAGAACATTCCTCTATGTTGACTGCATGGAGGTCTCCAGAATAGAGTGCAGATCCCTAAAGAGAGAAAACCAGGTAAAGAAGGGACTTCTCAGATGAAAGGATCTTATATCATGACTCATGGTGGTGGATCTTTGTGAGTAAAGTGATTTTTGAGCCAAAGCCTCTCCAGCCTCCATTGACTTAGTGCCTGATAGTTGACAGATTTAGCCTCATCAATCATTAATATCTTAATGTGACTAAATTTCACAGACCCTTTTCTGAGAGCATGTTGGGTGACACAAAAGAGGGTGGGGAGGGAGGAGCCTGAATCCATTTAGATGACTCAGGTGGGAGCAGAGAAGCAGAGTAAGGGTAACAGTGGTGAGGAAAATTCAGAGGAAGGAGAAGTTATGAGTCTAAAGGCAGATTCTGCATCCTTACAATTTTGCCTGTAGCTCACCCTGCTTGTACTCTCCAGATTAACTAGCAAAGTGCTGGTTGCTTCTTTCCTTTGGTGGAGAAACAGGGATAGATCTGGTCCTGCCTTCAGGTAGCTTAGACTTGAATATTGGTAATTCCTAGCTGGGTCTGGAGACTTCTGGTCATTTTCTTTTCTTCTTTTCTATGGACTAAAGTATGGGAGCATGGCAGGGAACTTTATGGTGGCTTTTTTAAAAAGCAAACAAAATTTACTTTTTGAGAGAACCATTTTTGAAGTTTGAAAAATACTCCTTACATATTGACAGCATTATTTCATGAAAAATCAAATGCTTTGGTGGCATTTCACACCACACATAATGGCTGTTTTTCATCCGGGAAAATGGTGGCATATAATGGGATACAGACCTATGAAGCTTCAGAGAAAATATGATAACAACCTCAATGCCACATTTGCATAGTGGATCCATTTCTCAGAAATGTAAAGCTAATTCTTCCTTTTCATTCATCTATCAAGGACTGCATGGCGTTATTCCATAAAAGCCGTGTCTCCAGAAAAGAAGAGAGAGGTAGAGTGCAAAGGCTGGCCAGTATCAGCTTAGGTTCAGCCATTAAGTCAGAATCAGATTCAGAAATGCAGAGAAACTCTGATCTATAGAAAGACTATAAAACATAGTTATAAACATAAAACAGAGTGGCCCCTCAGCATAAACTCAGGAGCCACAATGTCTGGATTTAAATCCTAGTTCTGCTACTAACCTGCTGTGTAAACTTGGACAGGTTGCTTACTCTCTCTATCCCTAAAGTTCAACGTCTTTAAAATCTACCCCATATGGTTATTTTGATGTTTAAATGAGTTAATATATGTAAAATGATTAGAACAGTTTCTGGTACCAATAAGCACTATATAACTGCAAGCCATTTTTATTTTATTCTTATTATTAATGCTAGTACTGTTAGTGTTATTATCATTATAAATATTCACTATCCCTTATGTGATACTTACAGGCAGAATGTATATCTGCGGAAAATTCCGAAGAAATCGCCATTCTCTCTGCAGGTAATCCAGAGAGCCAATGAACACAATGTCCTTCAGCTCCTGCCGGGTATAGTTGCTAGCTCTCAAAGGCATTACAAAATTCCGAAGCCCCATCAGCGTTGAGTGGGCGTCTCCAAAGATACATGCTACAACGTGGTTCTGAAACTCATGCTTTGACTTGTCGCTTCGTTTCTAAGCATAAGCATGCCAGAGTCTGGTCATTTTTAGAAACAAGACAACAGTCCCTCAGAGAGGGCTCCTTCCCCTCATCCCAACTCTTCTAGGTACAACCACAGGAGCACTTTCATGAGGATAATACAATTTTGCAAATTGCTCATAAAAAATGGACCTTATCAACAGTGTGCAATTATACTTTTTATCTTTCTGCGGAGCTCCTTCTTATTTCACTGTTTTTAGTTTTCTATTAGCTTGAAGTGCATCAATTAAAACTCAGATCAGCATCATACCTCAAGGTGTGAAATCACTGAACCAAATGGAGAAAATATCTCTTATTTTCATTATACATTTTTAGCCTTGTACGTGCTGTAGGAAGCTTCAATGAAAAACTAAAACATTCCAAATTCCATTGCTAAACTTAAGTCTTCTAGAGAGCCCTAAAAATTACATCAAGCTGTATAACATATTGCAGTTTTCACTGGCTTTTCATACAAATGAAAATACATATTAGTTTGAACCACATGAAATTGACTTATAAAAAGTCAAAAATGGTTGAATATTGTCAATTTCGTATGGTTTAACCTCATACACTGAACTGATTGAATAGACTCCAGAGCTGAGGGAAATCATCATGCAAAACGCACAAAAGAAATTAGAAGGTTATAAAAATTCCATTTGATCCCAAACATTTGACTATGTCTCTCACTATCATCAGCATTGCCAAGTGATAACATCTCCCTTATACCTCTAAGTCGAAAACAAAATAATATTCATGACGAATATTTAGATGAGATTTCCCCCACATTCATGCAGACTTTTAAAAACAATAAATGTAACTTTAATAAAAAAGAATGTTATTCCTGTAGGAAACTTATTTTAAGCCTTGGTATGATTTCTTTCAGGGAATGAATCAATCATCTCTCGTGGCGCTGGGATGGAGTGGAATGAGTACTCGACCTGGAGTGAGAAGAGCTGATTCTGTATGCGGGTTTCATCATTAGTTGCATGACTATGAACAAACTAGTTGACATCCCTGACCCTCAATTTCTTTAAGTTTAAATGGTTTAAAAATAAAAGTTCATTCTGTTGTGGAAATTAATTAATAGATTGAAAGTACGCTGTTTGACTCACTATTCTTCAATAACTATTAATAAGATCTGAATCTTATTGAGTTCCTAGATTTCCAGAGGAGGACTCTTGGAGGGTGGTAGAGAATAAGTTAAATGTATTTAAAAGGACTTCCTCTATGAAGCGTGTCCTACATTCCTGAGCACATAAAGACTCAGAATATTTCCAGTGGGTATATCATTCTACCTTATGCCAGTCCTTAGCTGGGTTAATGACAAACTTCTATGAAACAGGAGTGGATGAAATCTAACAAGATAAATAAGTAGCATCTGACATCTCAACAGTTAGAGTATGTCAAATTAGCATACATTGGGAAATACTCTTTCCAAAGGGAATCATGTTCTGAGGGGGAATAAAGCTACTTGTCTGGAGAGCCTTCCTAGAGAGTGATATAAATCTTAACCAAACCTGTTAAATAATTGTCTCTAGCTAATCTGATTAGTTTTAACTTGAATAATGAAGCCTTTAACAGTATTTAATGTAACATGCCTGAAGTCCAACAATTGCTCTTGTAAGTAGAACTAAACAATTAGAAACAAGATACATGGCAGAGTGCATTACTGTGCACAGCTAGAGAGGCAATTTCTCCAGGAAACTGTGGCACAAAATTGTCTCCCAATTGAGAGAGATGGTGGCTTTTGGGGGAAGAGGAGGATGCAGTGTTCGTTCAAAGTAACTTAAATCGACTGCTTCCCCTGGACCCTTCTGCAAACTAAACCAAGTTCAAAGCCTCCCTGAACTTTGCAATCTGGACATCTCCCCTCCAGGGCCACAAGTTTCGAGACACTTAGCATTTCTTAAACTAGAAGCCCTTCTACATGTATCAAGAGACTCAGTGGGTGTTCTGAACTGTATTCCACGTCAAGTGTCATAAGGGGGAGATCTGTTACAGCAACCTGACTGCGTGCCTAATAAATATGGCATCAGAGAACGTCTGTGATTTCCATTTCTTGGTCTCTTGGATGCCTCCATCTGCAACCAACTTCCCAACCTCCTCAAAGATTTCCCTCCCACTGAAAACATGTTTGGCTTCCTGCTCAACGGATGTTTATTTTGCTTAGTTTAGAATAAGACATACTTGCTAAAATGGTGAGTTTCAGCAACCCAAATAGCCTTCTAGTGGATATGACAGCACTGACAATTTTGTGCTTCTGATCAAATGATTGATCTGCTTTTACAAAAATTGGAACATATTCTGACAGGACACGGGCACTGAGCCACAAGGATCTTGTGTGTGTGTGTGTTTAACAGAAAAAAGTGAACTAAACCACTTTTGGAAAGCAGGAAAAAATATATAATTATCAATTAGTCATAGTTGAAAAAATGATATAGAGTTCATACAATATGCAAGCAATCACTTTTATTAGTTAAATTTACCAACTACTGCTTGCAAAGTAGACCACTGGGATTAGACCCAAGCTTCCAGTTCTGGAAAATGAGAATAGATGGGGATCCAGAAGACTTAGGACATAAGGCTTTTTATTTCTTAGTTGCTGACACTTTAGTGAGCTGAGTTGGTTTGCCTCCTTGAAAGGACAGAGACAGGGACAGGATTCTAACATAAGGATTCACTCATGTTGTACGGGGAGGGGAGCATCTAGGAAATACATTCTTGGTGAATGTGTTAAGTCTATGTGTAGACAGCTTTAAGAAAATCTGCTATAGAAAATCCAAACTTTAAAACTAGTCAATTAGGGGGGCCAGCCCCGTGGCGTAGTGGTTAATTTCGCATGCTGTACTTCGGCAGCCTGGGGTTCACGGGTTCCGATCCAAGGTGTGGACCTACACTTTGCTCATCAAGCCATTCTGAGGTGGCATCCCACATACAAAATAGAGGAAGATTAGCGCAGATGTTAGCTCAGTGACAATCTTCCTCAACAAAAATACCCCTCCAAAAAACCAGTAAACTAGGAAAATGATTACTTACTTAAAAAAAAAAGAGGAAAGACTGCAGAGTTCTTGTAAACAGTATATTTCCCTGGTGCATTTAAATTGATTAGATTTAGTAGCAAAACATCAAAGTTTCAGGAGAACGTTATTCTGAATAACTGACTCAGCTAAACTGTTAATGGAGGGAAGAAGTAGTTGAAGAATCTGATCTAATTGTTTTAAATCCTAGCATATGACCTACATAGTCTTTGTCAAAAGCCACATCTGTTACCTTGCATGCAATTTGAATGGCTGATGAGGTATGTATTTTCCTTCAAAATCCACAGTTTACAAAGAGAAATGGCAGGTACTTATGACTAGCAGAAGGACATCATTTACCCTGGGAGAAGGTCTATTTGATTTGATTTGGTGCAAGATAACCTACCAGAATCACGTTCTCCAAAGCGGTTGCTTTGCACCAGTGAAACATGCCAGTGCTGTCAAGCTGGCTAAAATCTTGTTGCACTTCATGTGGAAAAGTCCTGAATAGGGAGAACAGAGAGTTAGCCTGAGAACATTTGGGGCTCTGGTGTAACAAAGCCAAGATGTCAAACTCGTTAGATCCTTGAGCCCAAAGCAAAGAACAACACGAAGAGAACAGCCTCAGGTTTGTGAGGCTCCAAAATAAAGATTCATGTCTGAAGCACACCAAGAGCTGAATGCCGACTGTATCACAGCTGAAGACATACTAAGCACTTTGGGCACAAGGCCACAAGGATTGCATGTGTGTTTAACAGATCCATCAGTCTCTCTTTTTACCTTAGATTATATGTGCCTTGAAGGTAGTCATTTCTGCTCTTAATTTGGTTATTATCATGATGCTGCCATTGCTTGGGTGAAGTCATGAGAGGTGTCCTAGGTACCTGAATACAGAACTCAAAAGGCTGTGAGATTGAGTCTTCCGTGGCATCTCTCTCCTTACCCTGTTTTCCTCTGCTCTCCTTTCCATATCTTTCCTTATGAGTCTGTGTTGAAACATTCTTACTTATTAAATGTGTTCTGCATTCTTTACAGCTTCCATCACCAGCCTACATTGGGCTAAACTTTGCTCTAATATTGATCTAAGTTCGTGGCAAAGCCCTCTACGTGATCACCCCACATTGCATTTAGGCACAACACTTATCATGTAATATATTCGGTCACCAAAAGGGTTAGATGATCTTTGGGAGAATCCAACTCACATCCTAAGGAATGTACATTTGCTTATTAGAGAGGAGACCATTCTAGGATCACAGAAAGTTTAAGGTTAGAAAGGATCTATTTAAGTCAAGAGAATCTAGGTGTGGCCTGCAGAAAGAACCTCAAAATCCCAGGGGCTCAACACAACATATGCTACTTCTCACTCATAATATATACTTTACTCAGGTGAGCAGGTGTCTCTGCTCCATACTGCCACTCAGAGTCTTAGGGAGACAGAGGCTCTATCATCTTAAGCCCACACACCTGGAACACACATCCTCCTCAGTTATTAAGGCACAGGAAGAGAAAGAGAGTGGAGAGTCAAGCCCAGGCTTTTAACTGCCTTGGACCAAAGTGGCACACATCATTGCTGCTCACATCTCATTGGCCAGAGCTAGTCACATGGCTCCTGCTAACTTTAAGGGGGCTGAGGAACCTGGGAAACAACTGAAATATTCAGTGAGCATTTTTGTCTCTCCCAGAGACTTTAAAGAATACTCCTTATTTTAGGGATAAAAGTCAAAGAGCTAACAAATTGTAAAGCTGGCATTTGAATATAACGCTGAGGTTGAGATTACTGGTGCTTACAACATTCAATTCTCCTTTCCTTCCTTACCATAGGAGCAGTTAGGTGGGACCACATGACTAGTTCTGGCCAATGAAATGTGAGAAGTGATGGCTGACATAGTGAAAAGTCCCGGTGTGATTCTTCAGGCTCTTTCCTAACCTGCTATAGATACGACCAGCCTGACTGCCTGAGTGACAATGTGGAGCAGAGTGCCCTTTCCTCCTTGACCCGTGCTGGATGTGTAACATGAACAAGAAATGCACCTTTGTTGTGCTAAGCCACTGAGATTTTGTGGTTGTTACCACCGCCTAAGTCCATCTTATCCTAACACAAATATCTTTTCTCAAAACATGTTCCATGGAATATGTAACCAGAGAACTCCTGAGGAAATGTTTTCTGTAGCCAAATAAATCTTGAGAAAAGTTTCCCCTCTTCGAGATTCATACTACATTTTAGCATATGGAAGGTTCTGAAAAGTCTTACAAAAAGGAAATCCTTTAAAATTTGTATACACCAATGTTTCACACACTTATTTGACCCCCAAAACGTTTACTATTTACTATGTACTTGTTTTATTTATTTACTTACTTATTTAAAAATATGTTACTATCCCTTGATACATCTTTGGGGACACACTGTACTATGTCACACTATAGGTTCAGCTCTGGTAGCTTATGACATCATTCTCCTGTGAGATTTTACTGTATGTCCTGGGAGAAATACAACCTATTACTCTCTGTGCTGAAGGGTTAGGGATTTTCCTTGTGAACTAACACAGCCTGTTATCCAACGCCTGGCCCAAAGACTCAGACTCCAATATAATGACTAGCAATTTTGCTCTCTTTACCCAGGTTAGTTTCTAAATTGCTATCTTAGGCCATAATTTTTCAGACAAAGGGACTTACTTAAACTTGGGTTGAAGTGTCAGGCCTAAAGTAATGGGATAGAGAGAGGGCCCAGACAGGGAAGCTGGGGTGGAAGGATGGGGCACTTGAGAAGGGTTTGGAAAAGTAGAGAAGCTAATTGCTAACCCGATTGGCCAAGGCCTAGGTGCATTTCTTTATTTTTCTCTCCATTTAAGATCTAACTATAAATTTAGTGGACTGTGGTCATTTACCTAGCCAAAAGATGTTGTAAGCTTCAAGGTCAGCTTGACCAAAATAGGCTACCTTGTTCATTCAAGTTAACATGCCTTTTGGTGGTTTAAATATTGAGAAGTCATGAGTCCCAACACAGAATTCTAAGAGCCACACAACACATGCTCTCTTAATGGTACTAGACAGGACCAGTGTGATGGCTTTATGCCAAGCTTATTAAAGAGACTCACCAGGGATCAGACCTAAGACCTGAGTCTGGTTTTGATTTTTATCAGGATTTGGAGAACTGGCTATGTTACTCATTCATAGAAACTTCTCTTCTCTCTATGTGCAGTTTCCTAGACACTGTCCCTCAGATGTTGATATAGTGTGGCTAAGTTATCTTCAGGGAAATGGCTTCCTGCTCTCTGCCTTCACCACTCCAGTCTACAACAAATGCTCCTACTTTTCTTCTGGTCACTTTCTGCAGTTTTTTCCTACTTCCTCTCCTCTTCCCTCCTTCCTCCCCCAATGAATGGAGAGTGCTTGGTCTGGAAATTAAATGCCCTTTTGGCAAATGGAAGATGATCTTCTTCCAAGTACATTTTAACTTGACTCAGAATAGCAAATCAATCACTGTACACCTTTCTATCATAATAAAAGCATGATCTATGTACACAAGCTGTCACAGCCAACATCTTTCTTCATTCTGATGTTATGGAAAACAGATATGCCTTAGAGGAAACACCTGTTGGAGCCCTGCATAAAAGAAGAGGCTAGAGGAGACCCACTTCATCATAAAGGCATCCATCTGGTGTCCTTGCCAAAGCAAAACCTGATGCAATTTAGTTCACCATCCCTTAACTAAAGCTCCCTTCTGCCATATGCCTTGCAAATGACATGAATCTTGCAGAAATATAGCTTCCTAAAGAGACTAATAAATCATCTATGAGAATGTGCAGCACTAGCAGTCTTAGAACTTGGAAACAAGTATTATAACATAAAGACTGATGCTATTGGAGGACAAGGTAGCCACAAGGCACCATTCAGGTCATTCAGAGCAAAAAAGAAAAGCCACATCCTGACCACAGTAGAGGCCTCTTTCTCAGGTGAGGGGGCTTTCTGGGTAGGGCAGCTTGGCAAGAAACATGGTGGGAGTTATCTGAGAGAGCCCTCAACAAGAAACGTTTGGGATGTGGGTGGAGTTGGTTCACTGGTCACAAGATAGGCTTCTGGGTGTCCAAGCAAAGTGTCGTACTGAAACCTGAGAGCATCCAGGAGGCACTAAACCTTGAAATGTCCTCAGAATCAGGTCTCTGACTTCCACCTTAGGAAGTTGATAGGTCAAATGTGCTGGGCGAGAACAACCTTTGCAGCCAGTCCACTTGTGGATGTGCAGAGCAGCACGTGAATAAAGCCTCTGGCTTTTTTACTGATGACTGGCTTTCTTCAGGCTTCTTTCACATGCATAAAGCCAATGTCTTAGGAGTACATGCTTGAACATGTCCTAGCTAAGGAAGGCAGGCTGTTTCTTCTCTGCTTTCTGGAACCATTCTGAAGAGAAGTTTTATTCTCCCATGTCCATAGCAACTTATCCTGTATGAATGCTATCACATAGCAGAAAATATAAATGAAGGACCACGTGCCTTTGGTTTCCAGTGGTGCACCTGATGAGGGAGAGAGATAAACTATGTAGGAAAACCCTTATTAAGAAGGTGGGGTAGGTTTCAGTGCCAGGTCAGGAAGCATGGTTTCCAAGAGCTTAAGTCTGTTGTCATCATCTCCAATTTACAGAGTTGACTCCGGTTATTCTTAAAGATGATCTACCAATGAATGAGACCCTCCACTGTTCACAATAGCGATTAGAAAGTTCAAAAAGCACCTATGGTTCCTTTTTTCTTTTGCAGACATCATTTCTGGATGCATTAGGAAATCCTGGCATGTGACCATCCCATTTGAAAACTCTGTTAATCTTCATAGGCGGCTTGTAAATTCTCAGGAGAGAGTTTTCTGGCCTGTATGCAGAATGATATAATTTTTGCTCAAGGCTTGAGTTAAGTAAAAGTAACAAGCTTCATAAAGTCTTAGCATGGGGAGAAGAACAAATCCCTTGGCCAAGGGTTGGAGAGGAGAGGAGGAATGTGTCCTTAGGGCCAGGAGTTTCAGCGCCCTTCATGGTTCAATCTTTGGAAAAATCCATTACAATGTTCTCTTGAAGGCAGTGATCAAGTTCCCACCAAAAATGGAGAAAAATTGCTCAGTCCTAGGATGCCTTTGGTGCTGCTGAGGACTTTGCATCTTGCAGGCTACAGCTGCCTTCTCTCCAATGACTTTGTATATAGCAACAAGCCTATTCAGTTCACCCCTAATCTGAAAATGCTCATTTATTGTCACTTCTGAATACCACCTTTTGTGTTCTGAGAATGAGAAAATCACCTAAAATTTGAAGAGGTGAGGGCAAGTTGTATTATCAGTGCTTCCCACTCTATCTTGTGGTGGTCTTTCCCTCTCTCTCAATCTTACACACATGTACATACACCCTTACACACTGACACCCATGCTACAGTCAAATTTCAGAAATGAGTCTTTATGGCCACTTGATGATTTCATTTTTCTAGGTTTCAGTTGGTGGTTATTTATTCATTACGAGGCATTATTT